CAAACTTACCCTGAAAACAAAGGAAACAGAAATATTAACATCAGAATTAAGTAAATGAAAGAATTACAATTTTCTTAAAAAAAAAGACTCCAATTATCATTGTCATTGAAAAAAAAAACAAGGTAACTTGATCAAGTTTTCATTGTAATTGTCAAGTCTATTATTGTAATGATTTTGATTCGAAATTTGACATTTCAATATTCTAAGTTTACAATATTTGACAGAATTTTGATATTTTTTTTAATTAATTTTCCAAAATCCAATTAGAAAAACAAAACACACAAAACAATGCCCGGAAAACAGCAGAAACTGCACATCATCAGCATCAATTAACGCAAACTACATAAACTATATACGCAGAATATTTGTAGTCATCAAACTTACCCTGAAAATAAAGGAAACAGAAATATTAACATCAGAATTAAGTTAATGAAAGAACTGAAATTTTCCTAAGAAAAAAAAGACACCAATTTGTCATTGATAATCAAGGCAACTTGATCAAGTTTTCATTGTAATTGTCAAGTCTATTAATTCTAATTTAACAATATTTGACAGAATTTTGACTTTTTATCTAATTAATTTCCTCAAAATCCAATTAGATAAATAAAACGCGTTACACAATATTGAAAATTCTAACAAATTGCCAAAAAAAAATCTTTCTATATTCAAAATTTATACAAATGTGAACTTAATACATGAATAATTTATGAAGTCTACGTAGTAAATTAATTAGTCAACTCAATGATTCCAAATGATTAGTATATAAAGATTTTGACAGATATGCTTTAGTTTTTTGTGTTTTTTTCAAAAACTACTAAACCGATTTTGATGTACGAATGATCAAATGAAAGCTTAATCTCTAGCGGTTATGATTATGTGTATTGTATTATTGTGTGTTTTTCAGTGTCGACGCCGGCGTCGGGAACGCAGTCGGCGGTGTTTCCGCTTCCGGGGACGTTTCCGTGGGCGCACAGCGGAAGAGGAAAACCGAGGCGCGGTATGATGCGGAGAGCGGTCTTCAGCGATCTGCAGAGGAAGGGCCTCGAGAGGCGATTCCAGATCCAGAAGTACATCAGCAAGCCGGACAGGAAGAAGCTCGCAGAGAAGCTGGGACTTAAAGACAGTCAGGTTGGTTGGTTGGATCATCATCGTTATTATTGTCATCATTGTAAGAGAGACGCCTTCTGCTTCTGGATGAAATACGATCTTCCCCTCTCTCTCTACATCCACGTTCACTCTCCGAAACCCATTTATATATATTAAGCGAGCGGCAACATATGTTTTTGATAGATCTCCTAACGAGGGCGAATAGGGTGGAGGGATCTTAATATTGTGAGAGCGAAAGAAACGGAGAGCGAAAACGTGTTGGAGAAAACGCGTGCAAGAGGGAGAGCGATTTCGGTGGCCGTACACTAAATCTGGTACAAATTGATGTGTGCCCTATTGTGGTGCAATAACTTCTCGGTTCGCCCTTCGCCTCGTTGAATGGGGGAGAGAAATACAGTGAAATACAGTAAGAGAGAGAAACAGATTTATATACAAATGGGAAATAAGGGAGTGCGAAAAAGATGGAGATGCTTTTTTTCTTCTTCTCTTTGGTAGAGGGTGAGATTGAGATTTGTAAGTGGGTGAGAAGTAACCGCAGCAGCGTTTGGAGTGAGGAAACCTCTCTTAATTGCTTCGTGATTTACGTGAGCCAATCGAAGTCTCGTTTAAACGTCGCGAAATATCATTAAGTTGTGTAAATAAAGGCGAAAACCATTAAGGAAAATCAATTGAAAAAAACGAAAAAAAACTTGGATTTATGCCTCATTCGAATACGGTATAAACTTTGAGCAAACTGGAGTTAATTTCAGTTTTAATTTCAGTTTTAAAAGTACCCAAAGTTTTTATTAATTGATCAATTTTTCTTGCATTAATATCAATTTCATATTCTTATTGGAAATTATTTAGACATTTTGTAGAAAAATATAAGTTTCTCCTGAAAATATTAAATTTTTGAATCATTTTTCAGGTATGAAAATCTAAGAAATTTTCTTGAAACTAAAATCAATTTATATTCGATTTTTTTTCAATTAATATCAATTTCATATTCTTATTGGAAATTATTTAGACATTTTGTTGAAAAATATAAGTTTCTCATGAAAATATTAAATTTTTGAATCATTTTTCGGTATGAAAATCGAAGTAATTTTCTTGAAACTAAAATCAATTTATATTCGATTTTTTTTTCAATTAATTTCAATTTCATATTCTTATTGGAAATTATTTAGACTTTTTTTTTTGAAAAATATAAGTTTCTCATGAAAATATTAAATTTTTCAGGTATGAAAATCGAAGTAATTTTCTTGAAACTAAAATCAATTTCCATTCATTAATATTTCTTAAATAGTATGTAATTTAGAAAATACATAGTTCATTTAATTGCCATTAACTTCATTACTTGTATCCAATATTTGTTTTCAGAAAAATTACTGAAAAAAGTCGATAATTTTTATGAAAAATAAGATATGAATTTCAAGTAATATTTGTAATTTTATAACAAAGTTATAGGAAAATGTGCATCTCGCTTTACTAAACCAAAACATGTTGATGAAAACTTAAGAGATAAGATAAATATTGCAAGTGTTAAATGATTCTTGTGGTGATCGAATCCGACGATAAATCAAAGCGTATCTGCGGGTGAACGCTGTAGTAAGTAAGCTAATCATATGGTTTTTGATGTAAATTGGGGTCGGCCCTTGTGTTTGCCGTTCCGATTACCGGGAACTGTTAAAGATATGCGCAATAAACTGTTCTCCCCCAAAGGCACCCTAAAAGCTAACCGCTCGTGTGTACACACACACACACAGTTCTCTTCTATTCGTTTTTTTTATAGTGTCGGTAAATGGCATGTAATCTCCCTAATTGAATGTGAAACGCGCGAGTGTTTTTGATTTGATGCCATTGCATGCGACCTCCTCCTCTTTCTCGTCCAAACGCAGCCGGAGGGTCGTCCTCCTCCACCCCACGGTCGTTATCTTTACGAATGATTAAAGATCTAAGGGTGGGACCCATCAGATCCAGATATCTGTCGGCGGCACGCAAATCCGCACGTGGCACAACAACAAACAACAACAGCAAAAAGTCCCCTTCGTTTTTATTTTTCCGGATTGTTGCCGATGTTGTTGATGGACGATCTCTGATTGTTTCTGGTTTCTAGGTGAAGATCTGGTTCCAAAACAGACGGATGAAGTGGAGGAATTCGAAGGAACGAGAGCTTCTGGCCGCAGGTGGATCGCGCGAGCAGACGCTTCCCAACAAGAACAACCCGCATCCGGATCTGAGCGACGCCGACGCCGACAAGAGCAAGCTCGATCTGACGGACGTCGGTGACATCTCGCCGGTGGGATCACCGGTTGCGGCCGCCGTCGCCGCCGAACTGCAGCATCCCAGGCACCGCGACGCCGATCAGGTGTATCCTACAGATTACGCTTCTGCAGCAGCAGCCAATTACCACCTGTACGAGAGCATGGATTACGACAGTTCGAACGATAGCGAAGAGGAGATCAACGTCACGTGATTGATCTGCACGGCGTAAAGATCTTGTTTATTATTTTTCTTCATTATTTTCTGTATTATATAACGTAAAACGAGGATGAAGAACAATCAACTTTATTTCATAATTTTTTCTTTTTTTTTTTTCGTTTCGAAATGTATCAATGTCTATATTGTAGATTAATTTAAAAAAAAAAAAGAAAAAATATAATTGACGAAGAAAACGGAACGAGAGAAAAACACACACACATTATGTATGATATAACTGAAATTGTATATAAAAAAAAATATTATAATTAAATGAACAAAAAAAAAAGAGTATGTGTATGTACAATAAAAAAAGATATAATAAAACAATTAAAAGATCAAAAAAAATCCCATAATTAATTTCAACATCCAATACATGTTCGATTGGTTGCCTAAGTAAACTGCCTTACAACCGATACGAAAGTAATGCCAACGTCAAGGACTACAGATTTCTATGTAATTAATCAGAGTCTGAGCTGTAAAAGTCGTTGCCAGCCTCGGATGTGAACGTTGGAGCGACATCGCTGTAGCAGCCGTGAAATTTGCGGATGACGTCGCCCCAAAGAAAGTTCTTCCGGCATTTGGGGCAGTCGCCATCTACCGGCACGTATTGTCCTGGCTGCAGGTAGCTTCGCGACAGGCAAATCACGTGACTGAGAAGATCGCATTCCGGGTTTACGCAACGCAACTTTTTACCCTCGATTATCTTTCCGCACACGTAACAATCGTGAACAAAGCTATCCGACGTTGAAGCCTCCTTTTGACTATTAATTTTAACCTTTCTACTGATAACGCTTCCTTCTATTATTGGCATGAACATCGGCGGAGCTTTGTCCAACTAAAAACATGTTACATAGACCACCCAGTATACAATGATTTAAACTTACCGGAAATTCTTTGACGAAACTTGCATCCAACCAGCGGATGGTCAAAGGTAATCGATTCCAGGGACCGACGCGAAGCATCTCCGACATTATTCTAAAGCAGTAATCGAACGATTTCTCGCGCGCCTTCTTTTTCGGCAAATGATTCAAACGTCGAGATCTTTGCGGATGCTGCCAAGCCCATTCGAACTGAAACATTACAAAGATTTTAAAGATAATTTATGAAAGCTTATATTTTTATATTACCCTGAGCGCAGCGATGTCATTGGGGAATCCGTGGATGATCATCACCATCGACCTGAAACACACACGTATTACAGAATACGGACTTATTATACACGAGTGTGCGCGTGTGCAAGATGTTTCGCTTTCCTCTTGTTCGCGTTCAAAGAATCCTGAGAAAACCTAACGTCTGTGCTTTAAGATTCACATCTTCGCAGCAAAGCGCTGAATCCGATGAGGAATTCGATAATAGGTACGAGGCTTATTTCGCTAAAGATGGAATGGACGCGTGGGCGATCCGCAAGGGCATTAACGACATCGTCGGACAAGATTTGATACCGGAACCGAAGATCATCGTCGCTGCTTTGAAGGCTTGCCGAAGAGTGAACGATTTCGCTGTAGCCATTCGCTTTTTGGAAGCAATCAAGAACAAGTGCGGTTCAAGAGTGGACGAGATTTATCCTTACATCATCCAGGAAATACGTCCAACTCTAACGGAATTGGGGATCAATACACCCGAAGAGCTCGGCTTCGATAAACCGGAATTGGCTGTACAGAATGTCTACGAAATGCATTGAATACATTTCATGTATATTCAATAGAAAATAAAGTAATTTCTTTGATTTAGTAAATTAAATAATTTGAGTACGGTCCTGTTCGCAAAACAACAAATCAATGTACATGAAAGTACATTGGGTTGCCTATATGTAAACGTCAGTTTTTTCTTTAAATTTGAAAATCTTTTGATATGTTATATTTTTTACCATGGTCCACGCTTGCTAGTTCTGTGGGCTCCTCCGGCTTTCTTTCCTTTGTTGTGTTGTTTGATCCTTCTATTGGGATCGACAGTGTATCCGATGTACGTTCGTCCCAGATATTTGGGATTTTTACATACCAAAAGATAAACGCCGAAGAACCTTTCAACTGTGTCACCACTCATTGTTTGTACTATTACTTCTTCTTCTTCCTTCCTCTCCACACTTCACTTGCGCGTCTTGCACAATTTTGCCAGTTTTGTACTATTAGGTTAATAATGCACAAACAATAACAGATCTATGCCACCATACGCACTTCCACGCAAAAACAGTTGCCTAAACTATTAAATTTGCCGCCGCCACCTGCGGTTAGCAATTAGATGCGCTTGCCATCTGCCGTTTCGAACGAATTCCGGGTAGTAACTGGATGAACACCTGCCACCACCACAACCATAAGCGTTGAAAGGTGAAGCAAAGAATGAATTTCAACCGAAAAAATATTCTATTTCTTTTTATAAAAAATAAGTTGTTCTCGCGAATATAATAAACACGGAGAGTTCGGAATAGTACTAGTATATGGGAGAATATTATAACTTATAAAAAAAATAAACAAATACTATACACAGAGCGAAATGGCGAAACGAAATTGGTGTTTTTTTTCCTCTTTTTTTGTTTTTTATGAGAATCTGGGTGCGACGCCTCTGTCGAGGTCGAGGAAGTACGGATGCTGCGCGATCTTCTTCGCGCTGATCCTCTTCGCCGGATCGTAATACAGCATCTGCTTGAGAAGGTCCAGACCGTTGTCATCCAAGTTCTGCACTTGTCCGGACAGATTGTAATTCGTCCAGTTGGGAAAGCTCGCCTTGTAATCGGGGAACTGCGACACTCCGGGCCAGATCTGTTCGGTCGGCGTTTTCAAAACTCTACAAAAAAAGAAAAATTCCCCAAATACGAAATTAAAGAAAAGCTGCATTCGGAGAGGGATTGAAATTTGGACAGGTGTGTTTTAGCTACCTGAATATCCTGAAGAGTTGGTCGATCTCCGAATCGCCTTGAAATAGGGGGCGTTTCGTGGCCATTTCGGAGAAGATACAACCCAGCGACCAGATATCAATTGGACACGAGTAACGCGTCGATCCTAGCAGAATCTCCGGCGCCCTGTACCATAGAGTGACAACCTCATGGGTGTAAACCCTGACGGGAACACCGAACGCTCGACCCAGCCCGAAATCAGCTACCTGTTGACACACAATCATTATTACCAAATGAAATTGAAGATTCGCACAAATCAAAACCTTAATTGTTCCATCTCTCGTGATGAGCAGATTCTGTGGCTTCAGATCCCTGTGCAGAACTCTCCTCTGATGGCAGAACAGTATGGCATCGTTTATTTGATATAAGTAGCTCTTCACCAGTTGCGGATCCATGAACGTGCCCGATTCGATCTTATCGATATACTTTTTGAGATCCATCGATAGAAATTCGAAGATTAAGTAAAGTCTGCAAATACCAAATCCATTAAATATATTATATTTCATAACGAACAAAATTTCAACTCACTTAGCCTCTTCCATGAGTACATCTTCTAGTTTAACGATGTTTGCATGCTGCAGCTCCTTCAGCAGTGATATCTCTCTGATCGCAGTCGATGGTACACCCTCATCCTCAGATTCCAATCTACGATAAAAACAGAAACACAACAACATCAATGCAAAGATTCAAATGGAAACGACAGAACTGAAATTTCACCTAATTTTCTTCATGGCAACCACCTGTCCAGTCTTCTTGTTCCTCCCCTTGTAGACGACGCCGTAGGTGCCTTCGCCGATCTTCTCGATTTTCACGAATTCATCCATATTTACCCCCTGTTCGCTTTTGTTTTCCTTCGGTTTATTATTTACCCGATCTTCGGTAACTGTGTCTTTTTCAAATGTTTCTGAGGTTATAATCTCAACGGACTTTTTTTTGTTCCTGTTTTCTTTCTTTTTCTGCTCTTTTACACTCGCGATGAATAAAAAACCGACGGTTTTTCCTTGTTGAATCTAATGCATGTTACACCACCGTTGTTGCCTGTTGCAGCGCACGCTCCTCGCCCTTTCGGTAACGAAACCAACGGTTCTTCGGGACGTCCGTTTTTTTTTTTTTTAGGTTCACCAACACATTCTTATTAGAACGAAAGAAATTCACAAAAACTTTCTGCATTCAATAATTAGGAAACTAACAAAACAATTAATTACCACAATGATATAATTTTCTCTAACACGATTACGCACAATGTAAATTATTCTATGTAACGACAATTTCAGTGTCTCCCAACACTTTTTATTTGTTCATAAACATTCAATTAAATAAACAAATCAAATTAATATGATATTTGCTGTACACATTTGTCCAATTTATCTAATTTTAGAAAATCTATATTTTTTTAATAATAACTATAGAAAAGACAAAGAGACATAATGATTTTCTAATAGGATTGAAGAGGAAAGTAAATATAATCAAAAACTTGTTAATATAGCCAAATCTGCAAGTCGTTTATAATATGAAAGTTTAGCAAGGAAAAATGAGGAAGAAATCTAATTTTGAAATAAATATTGTGTGTTGAAGAAGATAATATTGTTTGAATGAGGTAGAAGATTGGGATGCGCTGATTTTGTGTTGATGATGCAGCTCATGTAAACCAGAGGCGCTGCGGACGAAGGAAAATAAATTAATAAAAAAAAAGAGAGTCTAAAAAAGTGCGGTTATGTGAGGCTTGTTGTTTTCTTTGTTATTGTTGTTGTTTTTAGAATGAGCGTAAAGGGCAGGACGGGAGTGTTCTGAGAGCATGCAAGATAGGTTCTGGCTGACGAAGCGACTTTTGGTTATAGTTATATTTTTGGTTATCATCTTGGTCTTCAAGAGCTGGCTGCAATGACGACGAAGAAGGTGTCGTACTTCTACAATCCGGACGTGGGCAACTTCCACTACGGTACAGGACACCCGATGAAGCCCCATCGTTTATCAGTTATTCACAGTTTGGTTTTAAAATACGGCTTGCATAATAAGATGTCCATTTACAGGCCCTACAAGGCTAGCGTGCACGACATGTGTAGATTCCACTCGGACGAGTACATAGGTTGGATGATTATAAGTCGATTGGGGATTGAAGCGATGTGCTAAATGTTTTTGTTCTTTCGCAGATTTCCTCCAGAGAGTGACACCGCAGAATATACAGGCTTTCACCAAGCACCTGAGCCACTACAACGTAGGGGACGATTGTCCCGTGTTTTACGGCCTCTTTGATTTTTGTTCGATGTACACGGGCGCTTCGCTGGAGGGCGCCATGAAGTTGAACAACAACCACTGCGATATTGCTATAAATTGGTCGGGCGGTCTGCACCATGCCAAGAAGTTCGAAGCGTCCGGTTTCTGTTACGTGAACGACATAGTCATCGGTATTTTGGAACTGCTGAAGTACCACGCGAGAGTATTATACATAGACATTGATGTGCATCACGGGGACGGCGTGCAAGAGGCCTTCTATCTAACGGATCGCGTGATGACCGTCAGCTTCCACAAGTATGGAAATTACTTTTTTCCAGGTGATATATCCCACGAATTAATAATATTTTGATTGATTATTATTGTTTTTTTCTTCAGGAACGGGTGATATGTACGAAATTGGCGCCGAGACAGGACGATATTACTCGGTGAACGTGCCGTTCAAAGAGGGCATCGACGATGTCAGTTACTTCCAAGTCTTCAAGCCGGTGATCTCGAATGTGATGGAGTTCTACAATCCCACTGCGATCGTGCTGCAGTGCGGAGCGGACTCCTTGGCTGGCGATAGGTTAGGGTGCTTCTCGTTGAGCACCAAGGGTCACGGCGAATGCGTCAAGTTCGTCAAGGATCTGAACGTTCCGACTTTGGTGGTCGGCGGCGGCGGATACACCTTGCGCAACGTGGCCAGGTGTTGGACTTACGAAACTTCCCTCCTCATCGACGAGGAGATCAGCAATGAACTTCCCTACACCGAATACCTGGAGTTCTTCGCGCCCGATTTCAGTTTGCATCCGGAGGTCGTGACGAGGCAGGAGAACGCCAACAGCAGGCAATATTTAGAAGCAATCACAAAGTAAGACTGTTACAACAACAACAGTTACAATCAATATGTAATAATATGAATTGTGTTTAGGTACGTGTACGACAATCTGAAGATGTGTCAACATTCCCCGAGCGTGCAGATGCACGACGTCCCTCCGGACGCCATCCACGAGGACGAGAAGATCAAGGAGGAGGAGAATCCGGACGTGCGGATCAGTCAGGACCTCGAGGATAAGATGGTGGACGCCAAAAACGAGTTTTACGACGGCGACAAGGATCAGGATAAGCCCGACGAAGACCTATAGAAAGAGCACCACTCCTCACTCAATCCTTTTTAATTTTATTTTTTACTTTGTAACTATAGACTATATAATTTAAAACGTATAAAAAAAAACACACTAATGAATCACAGATTTCGTCTTTCATTTCCTATATACAAATATAACATCCTCGTCCGTTCCAAAACAAGTCCGACTATCCTCAAAACAATCGAAGTTGGCGCTGCAAACATCTGCAAAACATACACCAATTAATCGATTGTTTGATTAAAGTTTCTTCAATTACGGTTCGTTTTCGCCGGGTTTCTATAATGAATTAGCTGTTGGAAGCAGTCGAAGCCGCAGAGGACGATGTAGTGACCTAAATAGGTGCTGTCCAACCATTCGGTTTTGTCGCAGAAGACGCAGCGCAGCGAATTCGCGTTCACAAGGATCAGGATGGGGTTCGAGCTCGCAAGGTGCGTGAGGATGTCCTCCAGGTTCACTCGATCCTGTTTGATGGTGATGCCTTGTTTTGGCGCCTCCTCGAACTTTCGATTCACTCGCACTTCATCCTACAAAGCGCACCAATTAATTAACAATTTAAACAAAAAAAAATTATGCAAGTTTACGCACTTTTATGTACACATTCTTATAGAAAACGTTGCATTTGTAGGCCTTCCGCACTCCATACGTTACAGTGTAGAACATGTGCTTCACATTATATCTATTTAGTAAATAGCAGAGATCTATGGTCCAAGTGCTGAAATTCAATCAATCAATCAACAACAATTCCATTAACGTTTTAAAAGCAAATTTGAAAAACTATTTTTATAACATGACCTTACTTCAATGTAATTGCTTTAACTCGTTTTACCTAAAGTGGTTCAAGGTCAACGGCTATTTTTATGGGCCCCCCTTAGCGATTAGGAAAACAAACGATAACCAGATTCATTTTTTTTTAAATAACCATGGTAACTTAAATACAACAAGTGAACATATTACAAAGATACACATTTGTTAATAAATGAAAATGTACCTTTCACCGAATTTTTCGTACTCGCAGATCTCTTGAAAATTGTCCAGAAACTGTTGACGATCCGCTTCATTCAGCAGCATGAGAACACAGGAGATGCCGCAATCCCAATCGAATCTTTGTCTGTAATGCTGCAACTCGATGTCCACTAGAATTTGAATATTATTAAAATTGACTTATATTATTATTATTAAGAAACGCACTTTTCTTTAGTCGCTCTCGCTTTGAAAGCATCCGCGAAGAAGTATAAACGACGTTTGTATCGAGGGAATTCGTGTTTTCGATTCGGCCCTGAAGGAGTGGAGGGAAACAAACAACAATTCGAACGTATTGAAAAAGAAGTGCAAGTGAATCTTGAAATTAAAAAAAATGACCTTAAAATGAGCGGTCTTTTCATGCGTTCCGTCGAAGGTGAAGGATGATGTTTAAATGATACTAGATAATAACTATCAGTTTGGTTTTTCTGATAAGATTCAATTTATCGGAGAATTCAATAATCGATTTGTTTCGATTTTTTTGTTATTTTGGAAAGGACGAGAGTTGGATCAAGTTCAAGGCGTTTAAAAGTCTCCAAGCAAATCGTGTCAAGGTTTAATTTGGTTAAAAATTAAAGAGGATTTTCTTTGTTTGCAGCGTTGGTAATGGGGGGTGGCGGTCGGAAAATCCATAATTTTCCCCGAATTTTCCCGTCCGGCGCTCCGATCGTCCTCCGGGCTTCGTATCCCTTCAACCCTTCGTAGTCGTATTAGAAGCGCGGTGAGCACCGCCATGGCCGAAGGAACCTACGAGTACGAGTGCATGAGAGCCGAACTCCTGGGGATCGATCCACCAAACTACGAGGATTACCTCCAGAAGAAGAAGGACGAGGAGGAGGCGAAACGGGCGGCGCAGCAGCATGAGGAAGCCGAAGTGGAGAACCTGAAGGTTCGCGAATCGATATCCCCAACATACCATATTAGAAGAGGTATTCGCTAACACGAATATTTGTTGTTTCAGGCGGCGGAGGAGCAGGGCGAGGAATTGAAAGGAACCGCAGGGAAATTGGATGAATTGAATAGCATTCTTTCGGCGACGCAGAAGAAAATCGATAGATTCAAAGTGAATTATTTCTAATCAAAATAGATTTGAACGAACAAAAAATGAATTGTTTCGCTTTTGTGCAGGTTCGCTGCGGATCGGTGACCGAGCTGATAAAGACGAAGATTGGAAGCATAAGCAGCAACGGTGAGTCGAAGCCTCAAGAGAAGGGCTCATCTTCGGATCAACCACAAGAGGAACAACAGGAGGAGGAAGTTGAGAGCGTCGTAGCAGAGGCGAGCGGTGAAAACCCGAGGAAAAGCGATTTAGCCAAAGCTCTCGACAACCACGTCGACAAACTGGACACCCTCCTCGACAAGGCGGATAACGCTCAGTACAGCATGCAGGAGCAAACCAAGAAGATGAAGAGATTATTGCGCTAAAATCATATCGCGATTTCAATTGTGAATCATTCACATACACACATTCGGAATTTAAACTTAATTTAACAAACAAATAATATATAAAAATCGATGTTTCAAAGTAATCCAGTTCGGGCGCCTTCAGCCCTGAGTGCTTTCTACAGAGTGATATTAATCCATTGTACATTTGTTTATATAATTATATATACACATACATATAATACTAAAGTAGATAGGATCAGTTTCCAACATAAGTATTGGAGACGTTCGAGTTTTAAGAAAAGAAAAAAAAAACACCAAAGAGAATTGGATGAAACACGAGCATATGTTCTTTTTTAAATAATCGTTATTTTGTGCTTCCAGAAAGATTGTGAAAAGGAGTGTTGATGTAAAGAGAAGAATATGTTGTTTCCTTATTTTCGCTGTTTTTATATATGATTATATATATATTATATTATGATATACATATTGTAGATTTGAATAAATGTTGACGTTTGCGTGAAATCATCATTTTGTCAAAGAGCGAATACAAATTTGAAACTTGCAATTACAACGCATATAAAGTATAGATCCAAAAGATGAATGTATTAAGTATATTTAAGTACGTTTTACTAATTTCTCTGCAACTCTCTGTACTCGCCGCAAATTGAACTTGCGGTCTGTCTAACCAATTAATAGCGTTTCATTCATCATCGCCATGGAAACGTTGACATACTTTCTTGTAATTGGTCATTAAACGAATCGAGAGAATAATTGCTGTTTGACCTTCAATTTCAATCATTTCATTTCAACATTGTTAACATTGATAAACAACGAATTTACAGTTCGAAAATATAAATTTCCATTGAAACACAAGCAAGCAACGCCACTTACTTTAAATTCTACAGTTCAATGATTTAACAAAAATATTCTTAATCACCTACCTTTCACCTGTAAATGAATATATGATTTCAATACTTGGATAACAACACTAACAAATTGAAAAAGCAGTCATTTAGATCTCCATGTACACATATATACTTTAATTATTATTGTTGCATCCGTTGTTATCAATAAAAAATATAGAGAGAGATTCAATAACATTCCGTCGCATAAAAATAAACAATGAGAAACAGAACGAAAAGTAACAAGAAAATACTGCGAGAAAGAACATAGTTTTGCTTGGAGAATAATAAAGGTAGTCGGAGCTGCGTGTCTTCACCTCTCGTCACAGCGAGAAGTAAAAATAATAACAGCAAGATAATTCGTCTCATCTTCGGATAGATGTGCTAGCTAATGAAAAAAGTTGTTTCTAGTGGTCACAACGAGCGTTACGGCTTCTTCGTGAAGTTGATCTGATAGAAGACCCAATCTTCAAGGAAAGACGGAACGAAGGCGGTAGTCTTGTTGATCGCCACCGGAGGCTGCAGCTTCATCAGCTGCGACTCGTACATCTTCAGTGATTCCTCGCAGCTGGTCCCGTTTCCCTGAAATCACCCAAAATGTAACCACTCAGGACATCTGAAGCCCAAAAAAATACGTACGTGCGTCATGAATTTACCGTCGGGCTTCAGGATCTTAAAAGACAATTCGAGGATTCGAAGGATGAAATCCCAAAGTTCCCCGGACGGTGTACTGGAGATTGGGATATCGGTGAGATCTCCAAAAACGTAATCGAATTTCCTGCCTTCAGATATGAACTGATCTAAGGACTTCATGCAATCCCCGACTATGATCTGAAAATATGCGTTTATTTAATTTCAGAAAATCTGCAAACATTTCAATATATACTTGATAATTGGGACCTGATCTGCTGTCCAGAACGTCGCCGCAGATGGAACGCATATGTTTTGCGCACGCTTTCATCACGATATCATCAATCTCCAACATGATCACGTTCTTGGGCTTCTCTTTCAGCAGTTCGTACAGCAAAGCCCCGTCGCCTCCACCTAAAAAACAAAAACAATTAGTAAACGTTTCGCTTTAAATTTATTATAAAAGAAAACCTACCTAAAATTACGATGTCTTTATCCTTGTAATCCTCTTTGCCTCTGCACATCAAGGTTTCTGTGTAGATCAAATCCGCTTCTGATATGTCTGAAATTTGATACAATTGTATTAATCGAGTGTTGTTAAATGTTTGTTGTTTATACACTCACTTTGTAAATCATCTAGAACTAGCATATTTCCTAAGCTCCTCGAGTGCACGATTTGTACTTTCTGGTATTGCGTCCTCTCTTCGAAGACCACCTGATCAATGTCATATTCGAGCAATCTTTCGTCTAAAACACAGCAAAAGAAACGGCAACACCAATTAGTCTCCACACTTCTCGGTGTAAAGATTAACAACAGCAACAACAACAACAACAACCAAACAAACAGAAAGGAACACCAAGTGGCACATACACAAGTCTCTTACTCACAGTTATAATTCAAATCATCGAGATTCGTGAAGCTCATTTTCAATGCACGTAAAACAATAAACTGTGGCGATACGAAATGTAAGCAAAGTCGCGCACGTTTCTCTCCGAATCTAGGAAGTCCTCGTCCAGATCAATAGGTCAATAGAAGTATTGCCAAAGAACGTATTTGTATGTGTTAATAAAATATCGCGGGCCAAGTTTAAAGATTACGGTGCCATTGAACTTCGCTATCAGACGAGTGGGAAAGTGAAACATTCGTACATTCATAATAATTCTATTTCTTTCTTTTTTTTTAGAGAGGATTGCTGTACAAAGATATACACACGCACTGGAGAAGCAGATAAAAGAGAGCATTAATAAATAAAGAGAAGAAGTGAAAAGGAAAAAAATATATAAGAAAACAAAAAAGAAAGAAGAAAGATGTGTCTTATTTTTTGAAAATTTTTTCTTTCATAATTTGTAAATCGCATGCAAAATGGAGTTACTGTACCTGCGGACGGGAAATACCTATCAAATTTCCCGCGTTTTATAGGGACAAGTGCCTGACTGCGTTTAATGCCAATTACCCTCTCGAATACTTCGCGCTCGATTTCTTTCCCTTTCTATAACAATTTTTGCAAAATTTGAACAAAAACAAAAAAAAAATGTAACAACAACAAACAAACAAACAAACAATAAAGAAACAAATCATATACTAGTGGTAAAGTAAATAAAGAAAATTTAAGTATTTCTTTTGGAGTGTGGAAACGAAGCGGTGAAAATATAAGAAAAGAGAACTTTGAGAGAGAACGAAAGCTTTGGAAATTAAATTTGAAATAAACTGAACTTTTGAGAGGTGGTTGGGGGGTGGAGGAGCGTTTCTTTTCTTTTTTGTTGAGGGGGTGGCGGGCATCAATTAGATTTCTTTTGTTTAGGGTTCTATGATGATGATGGCACACCTGAACTAGTTAGGTACACATCGAGGGTAGATCCTCTTTTTAAGGGAGGAAACATTTTCGAACGGAACGAGCTTACTGTTAGGCTAATTTTTTGCTCGATTTCCTTCGTTTGCTAAAACAATATTCATAACATAAATTACGTACAATTTACATGAAGAATGATATGTGCGTATGATGGAAATACCTTAATTAAAAACTTGCGAACACGATTTTATTAAATCACAATTTTCGTAAATCAATAAATTTTTTTTTAAAATGAAATCAACATTTTCAACTTTAATATAGAAGCAAAGTTCGTAAAATCGATTTTCGTCTATTCTCTTTGTTAAAGGTCAAAGTTAAATAAAAATCGTTACAGTTATTAAACATATTCTTCGAAGCAACTGAAATAATATTCCATTACAGCGCGCAACTTCCAAGAAAATCATAAATTCAGGGTAAATCTAGTATTGAAGAATTGCACCGACTCTCAATAATTACACATGATTACACGGATTTATCAGGTATGAATAACTTAAAAAAAAATTGTTGTCTCCGACCATCATTTATATTGAAATTGTATATGTATTAGTTATACGTAAAATTTAACTATTTTTAAATATGTTTGGAAATATTTATTTGTTTTTTGAAATAAAGATTTGTCAAACTGTTCAAGGCTTACTTTTCCTGATAAACATTTAAATTCATTGCATCTACTGAAAATGTAGGCTTACTTTAGCCCAATTTCAATAATATTGTAATTTAATTTTTCAATTAGAAAATTAAAGTATCCTTGATTTTGGTTCGCACTTCAAACATTTACAATTAGGACCATTATGTAACTGATAATAAAATTTCATAAATATTTTTTGTCATGAAAATTTAAATGAATCTTTGTTGAAACACGATAATTAGTCGTTAAATTTTGAAATTGGTTTTGAAGAATTGTATATTTTGTTAATTAATAAAATTCGTTGGAACGTATGCAAATATTTGCATTTCGCCTATCGTGAATTTGTTGAAGAGTGACCTGGGAAGTCCTGTTATCTTCGTGTTCGCCTCGCATATTGATATCGCGCCGTTATCAAGGATTCCCATTCACTGGAGCGCATACTTTATTACTTAGTATACTAACAAAACAGTAATTTAATCGCGTCCGCAAGTTTGTCGCAAATTTCTTCCAAGAATCGTGTAAACATAGTTGCATAGCGAGAGCAACGCAACGCAACGGACGGATTCAAAATTCGCATCATCCGCGCAATAATAGTTACCTCGTAGTCGAGGAGCGGCTCCTGCTTCTCGGCCTTGTAGTACTCGATGTTTATGGTGATGATGCCGTTGCCGAAGATGCGCAAATTGCTCACTGCTCCCATCTCGCTCTGGTACAGCTTGAAGATGCCGCCATCGAGCGGCACGCTGATCACCAGCTTCAGGTTTGCGAGGTAATCGCGCAGGACGTTCTCGATGTCCGCGGAGAGCTGCGACAGCTGACCCTCGCTCTTCACCTGGCTCGGATCCACCGAGAAATCGATGAGGATGGTGTTCACTGCCATTTCTTCTTCTTCTCCTTCCTCCCTTATTTTCTTAGATCAAATGTAGATCGTCGACGACGATGCAGCAACAACTCACGACGACGGACGTTTCAGGCGGTATGCGAACGACGTTCGGCAGCCAGTAATTGCAGTTGTAGTAGTAGCAGTAGTCAGCGGAATCCAAGATCACATGGTTCTGGTTAAGCCTGCGCGCGCGTTTTCCCTCTAGCTAATGATTCACAAACAAATTAAAATAGATTGATAACAGCAGCAGCACCATGCCGGACGCCCAGATAACTTCTTCGCAGACTTTAACAGTAGAATCAGCGGTGCATAAGAATCGTGCAGCAGCGAAGAGAGAGCGCGCATTTACGCAATACCCCGTCATTGATTCAATGTTGATACATCGGCGCCGTGGCTTAGTTGGTTAAAGCGCCTGTCTAGTAAACAGGAGATCGGGAGTTCGAATCTCCCCGGGGCCTAGGTGGTTCGCTTCTTCTCAAGCAAAACCGCTCACTTCTTTTTTCTTTTACCAATTACAATTTAAATCTCAGCTAATATTCCCATGTCGACTACTGCAATCCTCCTAACTTTATAACTATAAAAAAAAACATCAATATTGCTGATATTATAAAAGTAATTAATTTAAGGACATAGAAAACTTGTTAACAAGTTTCAATCCGTCTTTATGTAAAAGTACTGAAACAGAAAACTAATGCATAAATCCTCTGCAGAAGCTTAAATTCAGGAATAGGAAACTTGTAAAAAGTACTTACATGAAGGAGTGTTCAACAGAAATTCAAATTTAATACAAAAAAAAAAATATATAAATTTATTCCTAATTCTTCAAGACTTTCCCCTTCATTATTTTAATCTCATCCACCGGCCTGTCGTGTTTATCCGTCTCCACCAGTCCGATACGCT